AGCAGTCACAGTTCCATTTAAAGTGGTATCATAATCTGGGTGGGAAGTTTTATTTTTCTTAAAGAAAAGTACCAGAACTTAAAAGTGAAAATGTTGGTATGCCATGCATTTTTTCCCACTGAAGTTGCCAGTGCTGAAACATTGACCAAATGCCTCTTTGGAAACAAGCTTTAATGATCTGTAGCAAGTTTTAGGTGTCTCGCCTACCTTCCTACAAATCACCATCTGGATTCACATTGAAAGGTGAATTTGTTCAGTTCTAATTAATTTATTAAAGAAGTTTTTATTGCTCTGTGAATAAAAGATTCTGGCACTTTATGCTGTAACATGGATTCTCAGTTTGAAAACTAAACTGCTAGGAAAATTTAGTTGTAATGTATACAATTTTGGAAACCCGGAGCAATTTTTATAAATTCTTTTTATAAAAGTTTTGTAAATTCTTATACTGCAGTAAACTGAAATATGCTTAAAAGAAAGCCATAACACTTTTTTATTAACAACAGTTTAATACATTTAGAAATCTCCAGTACCTACTAAGGTAATAACTCCCAAATGTCCTGTTCCTTCTGCTCCTATATGTCACACTCAGCACAAACCGCTCCCTGGAGGAGGGCTGGGCTCTTGATCAGGGCGGTCAATCACATAGAAACCATGCTCCTCTATTGCCCGGTAGAGCGTGATGTACTTGGAAGCCTTCCTGGTCCTCGGAACCACGAATTTCTCTGTGAACTCATTCTTGTCCAGTTGCTCTTTGCCTTCTGTGGTCAGAATGCAGTTAATGAATGTGAGGGTGTAACTGTAGCAGTTGTGGCAGTCTTCTTCATACCTTACAAAACAAGGAAGTGGAGAAGAGAAGCCTTCGCTTTAAAAGCTGCTCAGAATAGGCCAAAGAAGCTGCTGAAGGCCTTTTATAATTAAAACTGGGCTCACTCAGCGAGCTGGGCTCTTACCTGTGCTGGCCCACTTGATGACAAAGCTCTGAAAGATGCAATTCTGAGGGCCACTTGACATCTTGGGCTATTTCTACTTTCAAGTTAAGTACAGATGGGACTCAACTAAATGTTCAGAGTGATGACTTAAGTTGCTTATAAACCCCAGTTTGGGGAATTTAATTTCACTGAAGTTCTAGATTTCAGAAGTAAAAAATTCTATATCAAATTTTAAGATATCCCATATTGTCTAGATTTATTTCAAGGGAAGCCTAAAAACAATTTAAATTTATAAGTATGCTATATATCTAAAGTGATGAGGGAGCAAGGAATTGAGAAAATTTCAAAATTGTCAAAACCAAAAAAAGAAGCTTAAAATATTTATAAATTTTGAATATCACTTTTTAAAAATTTATATTATGAGAATATAATATCTCAGCTTTTGTTGTACACATTATTATTAAATGTTAAGTATGTAAAAATACCTAGTCAAATAACTAGAGTACTAAGTTCTGATCCTTTCAGTTCGTAAAATACTATGATTCTGTTATGTAAATGTACACTGACTCACTCCGCCAAAGTAAGTCAACCCTTAAATTATTAAGCTTAAATTATTACAGGTGCTACTATCTTGGAATGGGCACAACTAGACACAGCTTAGAGTCCTCTGTGAGCTTAGATCACACTTGTGTGGTGAAAGAGGGCCAGGGAATGGGTGGTGTCTGCAGCCCTGTACCTGTGAGGCAGCCAGGCCCCAGTGGTGGAGAAGTCTTCCAGGTACTTGTCCCACTGGTCCATCAGTCCAAACATGCTGGGCTGCAATAATGGGATACTTACACTTTGCTCCCAGCCTGCTTCATCTCGCTGGACACCATGCGTGGTGTAATTATACACAATTCCTACAACCAAAACCAGAGTTGTATAGAAGCTTAAGGGAAAATGCACCACTGTGAAAAGGACATCAGAAAAGACAGCAACCACTGTGGTAACTTTACATATCAGCAACCCAGGCTGCATTTTCTGATTACTGTCAGAGAGCAAAGGGCCATGAGAGGCTATAGAACCTCCTTCTTCCATATCATCAAGTTCAGGAAGCAGCTACCCACCTAGGAGATTAGGAGAGGGTCTTGCCTGGAGACAAGCAAAGCAGTTCCTTCAGAGAAACCCAGTTCTTGCTCCACCTGTTCTTCAACACCTTGAAGTTGCCCCCAGGAAACAGATAATAATAGGCACCAGGATAATCATCTCCAAATATTTTTATTTAAGTTCTCCATTTACAAATGAGTCTATCTTGTTTCCTTAAATCAGTAATAAATTTCCAGTGATAAGATTGGTGGCACATTTGATTGCCCACGTGGGTAACAGTTCAAAATCCCAGTCCCAGGTTTCTGTTCACAGCATCAGTTTCTCCTGCCTCCAGGGGCCAAGGAAAGGCTGTGATTACAGCCTCACCTGGCTGGCCTCACTCACCATTCCCAGGCCTAGAGGTTCCTGCAAGTGGCTCATGCAGGCCCTTTTCCTACAAACAAGGATGTTCTGGTTTCAGGGGTTGCAGACTCCATGCCCTGAGAGCTAAATCTGACCAAAGAAACTACTTTATTTAAACATGCTTCTTTTGTTATTGTTTTTCTAAGAAAACCACTGCAGACCGTGCCACATCCTCAGGTGCCATATCCCCTGATTTATTCCTGAGGTTCCTGCCCACCTAACCCCTGGGGACCCTGCAGTGTGAGGACCCAGTGGCAGTGAGCTGAAAATATGATTGAGGGGCAAAGGCCCTGGGTCCAGATTCTGGTTCCCACATAAGATGAGGTCTTGGGCAGCTCAGCCTCTACAGAATTCTATTTCTTCCTCTTTTAAAAATCAACAAAAAAATTTAACAGGTTTATGTCACTCTTGGCTGAGAAAACATTAAAGAGCTTTCAAGTATTTAGTATTGTTAGTAGTAATACTTGCTGTAAAGTCAAGTATTTCTCACTTGGGGGTAGCATTTCCCACCTCATGGTACAGCAAGAGAACCCAGAGAACAGAGAAATCACTAATTAAATGTTACCACAATCACTTTTTCTCTAGAACTACTGCTCTCCTCTGGGTATTTTGGGCATTTTTTAGGCTTAAAAAAAAAAAAAAGAACAAACTATGAAAATGCACTCACCATTTGTGTTGGTTATTCCAACGTGAAGATCAGACCTTCCATCGTACTCCCTGAAAGAAACAAGTATTTTTTTTTTTTCTTGCTTGCATATGTCTGGCACAAAGAATTGATACTAAAATAGGAGGAGAGTGATGGGTCTCCTCTCTTGGCTGGCGCCAGACTTGCCATCACTGTCCAGGGTAGTGGAAGTCTGTTTCAAAGCTGATTAAGCCAAGAATTAATTTGAGATATAAAATATCCCCCTGCCCCTGATCTGGATTTTCTTGCTTCCCCACCCCCATTACTAAGGGTAAGTATGCTAGAAGACCAGCCCTACTAGAGCAGAAAGCATAATGCTGGCTCCAAGGGCAGAGGGGCCACCCGGAGGTCATTCACTGAAGAAGCTCCTTATTCTTTCCTCCTTGTATGTGAGGTGACAGCCTGTTCCTCAGGCTAACATGGGTGAAAGGACCCTGAATGCATCTCAGTGGACCTCTACCTTCAAAACTAATGTAGCCTATTTTGGTCTTGTAGCCTGTAACTATATTTTTCTTAGAAATACTGTTCTCCTCTGACTGGATAGTCCTTGTCTCCTGAAACTATTCTTTACCTGAGACTGTGTATTAGATGTATAAGACCATATAATTTAATCTTCATATGTAGCCCTAGACCATCACTTAATAGCCCTGGGACATGGAGCAAGTCACATACTCTCTCTGATCTATTTTCTCATCTATAAAATAGGAATATCATAAGCCTCCTAGCAAGCTGGTTTTAAAAATAAAATGTCTATTGAGTGCCTGCCACATGAGGTGTCGAGTAAATCAGAGGTTATTTTTAAATATAACGCTCCTTCGTTAGACCACAGGTCCAGATATGTGGTTCCTCATTAAAGCAAGTAGTTACAGGTTTTAAAAATGACCGAGAACACAAATGGCTGCCCCACCTTCTTCAGAGTAATCCCCCTCCCAGGTCATCTTGTTGGAGACACTTTGAGTTTTTTGAGGAAAAAACCCTGTGGGTTTAGAGGTTGAGAATGAAGCTGGGAAAAATAGGAACAGTCTTGGGTAGCTAACGACAGCGCTGCACCTGCTGCACCCACCACGTGTGCTACCCTAAGATTGCTTCCTGAGTGCATCGCTGCACTTAGTTTCCTGCCTAAATTCTAGGCATTTCCTTCCTCCCGCCTTCAGTTATTTATCAGTCATGAAACACATGTTTATGGGCCTGTCTGAAGTGAAGGGCTAATGACACAACAGGAAATAAGGCCAGGTCTCTGCCCTCACAGAGGTTTCACGCTTCCAGAGAAGACTTTTTACCTTTAGTTTAATGAGGTTTTAGTAGTTTGGTAAGTGCTGTGAAGGGAAAAATATATAGAATGTTACGGAAGCATGTGATAGGGGCAGGGCCACCCCTCTCCTATGACACCTTTGTGCAAATTAAGAAAAGATACCCCTTCTTCCTGCAGGTGCAGCTTTCCCCGGGAGATTGGCTTGATGAATGGAGTGCAGACTTGAGTTCCAGTACTCACCACCACCTTGGCCAGGTGCCTTTGTGCAGTCCACAACCTGCACAACCATGTAGCAGCCCTGCGGGATCCTAACCTAACTAGAGCAGAGCCTCAGTGCTTCCTTTGGGTCACTGCTGATTCTCTTTTATGAAAGAGAGTCAGTCCTGAGGGTTTGGAAATTGGATGAGAAAGGAGGAAATAGTTTGGAACTCGGCCTTACAGGGTCTGGTGAGCAGGGGGCTACTTAAAGATTCTGCAGATCCTGGCCTGAAGAGTTAAGGGGGTGGGAAAATGCCAAAACACATAACTTGTTTCAACACCACCACCTCCCTTCCACTGAAGCCAAGGGAGACCAGGCCCATCAGTATCATCACCATATCATAGCATAAATATATGTGTATTAGGGGCCAACCTGAAAGCCTCATATA